CCGGCACCGAGGTCAGGCTGACAGGCCTGTAGTTCCCCGCATCCTCCTTCCAGCCGTTCTTGTAGATGGGCATCATATTGGCAAGCCTCCAGTTGTCTGGGACCTCCCCCGTTAACCAGGACTGCTGATAGATGATGGAGAGCGGCTTGGGATGGATGAAGGAGAGAGTACTGACCACAGGTCTTAACCTAGTAAGCTGCAGGGAATGTTCAGTCACATCACACTTTATGTGACAAAAGAAATATGATGTTAGCTCCATTTCAGATTGATCTCCAGCACCTGGCTGGAGTGAGGAACCGGGGCAGGAGAAGGGATATCATCACTGCAGCTCCCACAACATATAACTGTGCCATTAGCAAACAAACCTCCCAGGTTTTAGCTCTCTCCCTTGTTACTCTCACCAGCTCCCAAAGTCTCTTTTCTCCAAGGCCAGTTTCACATGCTCAGTCCCGTGCGCTTCAGAGAGTTGTGCCCTTGCCTTCCCCTCAAGTCAATCAACATCTTCTTGCTCAAGGAAGATGGTCATGGTTTCTCTCTGCCTTTCTACAATCCTCCTCTACAATCTATACCTTTCCTTCCTCCTGCTCTCTTACTGCACCTTTTGCATTCAGGTGAGACATTCTGTCCTTACTGCCTGCACGTCAGTGGAGAGGTCACACAGACACCAGGCTGAAGACATGCTTATCACTGAGTAGCTGGTGCAATTCTCACTAAGCCTTGAGACTGTATTTGCCACAGATCTTTAGTTCTCAGTCCTGGCTGTGAGTATTTCTGCCTGCATGCTGTCCTACCTCTCCCTAACAAGGTTGTACCTTAGATCTAACGTGTACTCAGTTTAAACCCATTAGATGTCTTGCTGGTCATGAAGATCTTTCTGTCCTTGCTTCTTCTCAAAAAGGGATGAAAGACCACTACTTTCCTAAATACAGTGAGAGAAGCAACTCAGTCTTCCATTGAGCTGTTTCCTTTAGTTTATTTATTTGTTTTTCTCTCCCAACAGCTCTGGTTTACACACAGGTGACAGTGTTACAAAAACAGGACCTGGGGGCCTTCCAGACATGAGACAAGTGCCAACTGTTGTGATCGAATGCGATGACAATAAAGAAAATGTGCCTCATGAAACCGACTATGAAGATTCTTCCTGCCTCTACACAAGACAGGAAGAGGAGGAAGAGGAAGATGAAGATGAGGATAACTCATTATTTACAAGTAAGAGTCATTCCATTTTTCCTTTCTCATTTATTTAATTTTTACTCTGGACTCTCAATACACAAGGGAAACAGAAGGCCTGTGAATTTTCTTTCTTGACCGTGGCTTTTGCATCTCTCAGGGCTTGACTACATGGGGATGCTTGCTAAATCAATCCAAAATAACAAGTAATATGAATTTTTAGTGATTTCCCTAATCCACATGAATCCCTGTCTGGGAGGCTCTCAGACAGAATTCAGATGACTGGTTTTGGCTTATATTAGTTCACTTCCAAATTGACTTTTGGATTCACTTTCCCAAGTGTCCGTGGTGTAAAGCAGCCCTGCCTTTGGCTTAAGTCAAGATCAGCTCAATAGGGTTACTTCAGGAGGATGAAATAAGCGGCACCGATACAGAATCAGAGCTTTTATATATAATAAATATTAAATCATGTCGGAATCATTAAGTTTGCACATACTTTGAAAGGGGTCACGATCAGAGAATTGGACTCAGATAAGAAGAGAAGAGGTTAATTGATAGCCATATCATTATTACAGTCTGGAGAGGGACCTGTGGCCCCTTCCTGACCTCTCTGAGAAAACCCATCTTCTGCCTTGGTGTGGCATCATAGGACTCTCCCATGAAGACAAGATACAGTACTTTGCATATGACAACTGCTTGTCATCCTGCAGGTCGAGCTGAAGTTTCAGGCCCTTGGATTTCTTTTATTCTGAGAACGGGGAGCAGTACAATCAAACAACAGCCTTTTTAAAACACACAAAGAAGATTCTGAAACAGGCATATTTAATATCCTCAGAATCCTCCCTTACCCTGCAAGTGAAATTAAGCAGTCTTTGCTCTTAAACTAAGAAACAGAGCAGAACTGCACTATCTCGCAGTCTCCTGCCAAAGCCCAAAGCCCTTCATGGGTTTGTGTCTCTCTGCCTGCTTGTGTCTGTCTTCCCTGCTCAGACTGCTTTGGATGCAAGCCTAGAAAAGCAAGTTTGAGCTGTGAAAGGCCACTGGTTTTCACAGTGTCTTTGCTACTGTCACTGCCTGAGAAGCAGTGTCAGTTAATGGGCATAGAGATCTGTGCTGCTTCTGATTGACTTTTGATTCCTTCTAGTGCTAGCTTGGGTGTCTTGATATTACGTTGCAAGAGAGAGAGATACCTCTTTCTTTCTACATGCCGTAGCTGTGCTGCCTGCCGAGATTCTGAGGTTGAATTATTCATACCATTACGTGGTTCAGAAACATTGTGCTAGAGAAAGCTACAGATGCTACTAGCAATTCGGAAACAAGCCCTTCTTCTCCACTTTTCTCTATGGAGCAATATTTTAATTTCTTTTCCTGTATACCTACCAAATTCAGCTTTTCCTTATTATGGTATGAGTTGAGGTTAATTGAGCAAGTGAAGTTAATTGACACCCCTTTTCCCACAGTCCATACAAATGTAAATGAGAGCCTAATATCCTCCCTTGGCTAGTACTTCTTTGCCTGCTGCATGCTGTAATGAAATGATGACACCTCCTTTGGCAGAGCCTCTCCTCTCTCCCACAGGCTCCCTGGCAATGAAAGTCTGCAGGAAGGACTCTTTAGCAATCAAACTAAGCAACAGGCCTTCTAAGCGAGAGCTGGAGGAAAAGAACATCCTTCCCATGCAGACTGATGAAGAGAGGCTCGAACTTAGGCAGCAGATTGGGACAAAGTTAACAAGGTAGGAGACAAACATTTTTCTGACTCTTGCTTTTGGAAATATGTGGTGGGATGCAGTTTTTATCCTTAGTCTGTAAACATTTGAGATCTGTTCACAATGTTCAAGAGAAAAAGCCATGGCGGGAAGAAAAGACTCTGGACGTTATTTCTGCTCCAATATAACTTCCCATACCATGCCCCATCTCATTTTCCTGGCATATCCTATGGGATCTTTGGTTGTGTTAAGTATCAGCATGAACTATGTGGATTTGGTTGCTTTCGGTGCACCATTGGGAAATGTTCAGCTTTGATGACGTTTTGGACTGTAGCTGCAGGTGCCATTTGATAGGCTATTCGTTTGGCCAGAGGGCAGAGGTATACCTTTCTCTTCTGACTGCATCTCCCATGAGTAGCTGAGTCTTTTGCTGATCCAAAATACTTACATCCTTCAGTACCTGCTTTTGTTGGGTCAGGTTGGACAGTCTAGACTCTTTCTTCTTCATAACGGTGTTATTCACCAGCTGTTCTGTATTGCATGGGGTATAGAGGGGTGGCCATTAAATGTGGAAGATTTCTGTCAATAATTAATAAACTGAGGTCAGGTAGAAATGTCTAAGAACCTCCTTATGCTCCAGCCGTGATTTCTGTAATCAATTTAATACTGTTATGTTATCAACTTGGTGGTACACAGAGCTGGTGAATGCTGTTAGTCGCCCTCCAGTGTGACTCTGAGAAAACCACAAGGAGAAGACCAGCCAGTTGTTGGGAGTTTTCTTGCAGGTTTTCTTTTTATTCTTCTTTTTTTTTGGGGGGGGATAAAGGGGGAACACCACTACCATGTTCTGGAGACAGGAGGAATAGGAGCTCCTGGTAAATACCTCTTTCAGCATTTTATCTACTTTTTTTCATGGCCTCATGTATCGCCTCTTTGGAATAAACTAACCTCATCTTTCCAGCCTGTCTTTGAAATTCTTTGTGCTGGATCATGCTTAGCCCACTCCAAGACATGTCTAATTCTTCAGTATTCTTGTTGAAGGGCCTCAGCAGTGATGCCCAAAGTATGCAAGATGGTGCTGCACTGTTGCTGGTACTGTGATCTTTCAGTCCGGAATAAATTCAGCCTAATACCTTGTTAGACTACAGCTGCACATGGAGCTCTGGGTCCCAAAGAGCAGCACATGATAGCAAGGTCCCAGTGCTTATATGATTAATTTTGAACCCTTTTGAAGCATGTGAAGAGTTGAAATTTTTGTCTCTTAGCGTATCTTACTGTACACTGCTTGACCTTGCAATGACATTGAACAGCATTTCCACTGTGTTGCCCATTTGCCTAAATTACTTAGGTCTCTCAGAAGTTTTAGAGCTCTGTCTGATGAAGGTAAATAGTGTCATTTGCAAACATTGACTCTGCACAACTCACTATGCCCCAGGTGTTTTTTATTATAAATATTTTATATCTCACCTCTCCAAAACCTGCTTTTTCCCCATTAAAGAATGTTTTTTCAGCATATCTCTTTTTAACAAGGGAAACTAATTTCGGCAATAGTCAGAACCCTTCCTGTGTAAGCCCCATATTCTCACAATGTCGTCGTTTGTTTCCCCAGTTGCATCTCTGCTTATTCAGTCTGAGGTATAATGCTTGATCTTGTCTTCTAATATAGCTAGGGACAATCACAAATAGTTCAAATAATTAAAACTGTGTATATATGAGCTCAAAAAATAGCTGAGCCACTGCTGTTTCATTCCTGTTTTATACCAGTGTAATATCACTGAAATTGGTAGAATTTCACAAGCCTTATCTGGAATAATATAGTTGCTAGTCTGACCTTTGAATTACTAGTATTTACAACTTAGTATCTCATCCTTTTGAGTAGTTAAGAACAATCAAGAAATATGAGGAGAAAACAACTTTCCTCATCTCTAATATGCAAAAAGCCACAGACATTTCAGCAGCAAAAAGGAAGGTACCTGTCTTACTAGTGCGTTGTATCTAAATATAATGTGTCCGTGTGCACAGACTGATGAATATTAGGTTGAAATAGAGAGAATATTTCAATTTGGACAGTATTTCTTTACTGTCCAGACTTCATTACTGAATCCATCCTTTGCCATTGCTCAGTAATTGTCACACAGTGATGCAAATGCCAAGCAAAATTAAAGTAGTGAAGCATTTATAGTCCTTAGAGAAGATGCTAGATGCAGACTATAATTGCAGCTGGCAATTTTGGATTTCAGAGGGATTTGTACTGTTCCACCAATGGTCCCCTACAGTTTAAAATAGCCAGCCAATGAAATCACATATGCTACTTACAGAACTAAAAAATGCAGAATAAAAACTTCAGCGAATAGTTATTGTCTGTAATGGATCAATTAATTTTCACCAAGAGGCTGATTAGGATACTTCAGTGTTTATGCATAATCCTCACAGTATTTAGTTTGGAAGAGCTCATTGGCTGCCACATTTGGCAGATCAGAATTTAGTACTACAAAGAGAATGTCATCTTTAAAGAAGCTTATAGCCAGGCATATTGAGAGATTGACCATTGACATATTGTGTGGGACCAAAATCATCCCAGGTGTAGTTCCTCCAGCCTTATTAGAATTGCACCAGGAATCAATTTGGCTCAGAACTGTTTATTTAGATCCTGCTCAAATGTAGCTTGGAACATCTGAACCTCCGGTAAGTCCCAGAAAATTGCTATGACTTTATTATTACATCTGCCAACTGGTAGAGAGACTCCAGAGCAGACTTCACACTGTCACCTGTTTCCCATGCTGGGAGAATAGTGCTTTGACTTACACCAGACCAGTTGTAAGGGTGAGGCTGCAGAGACTGTATCTTATAGCGGGATCTGGCCCACTACACACCTGAACATTAGCTCAGCCATGAGACAAATTAACATCTTTGTGCCTGTCATAGAAACTCTTCACATGAATGTAGTGCTTCACTGGTGTGTATCCTGTATCATGGCTCAGCACATGTAGATCCAAGCAAAAATGGAGCTTTTTGCCCAAGATGGCAAAATATGTCCTAGCAAAGGCAGGAGATCCCACATCACATGAATTCCAGCCACATGTATAGGCCACTGCATCATAGACTATTTCTGGGCAGTCTTCACACAGCAATTCCAGCAACTAATTAGAAGACCTCCTCCTCTAACCAAACCAGAATGGACTACTCCAAAATGTGATACCTACTATGAAGCAAGGAGCAAAAATAGTGAATTAAGATGCAGAACTTCCAGCTCATAACCACATCTGACTTGGGGATAGGAAATGGATGCTGGAGGCCATGTTCTTGGCTGCTAAAACCCTTGCAACTTCATTAACTTCTACTCTGAAATGCAGACCTTCTGCGCTAAGTAAATCTTTAAGTGGCTATGGTTTTCTTTTTTTTTCTGCCTGCTCAGCTTCTCCCAAACTCCTCCTCCATTTTATCCCTCTGCTGCCTGCACATCTTCACAGCTGCTCAAGAAGTGCATCTAAGTGACCATAAGACAAAAAGGAGAAAACAGGAGGAAAAACAGGACTCTGAAAGTTAACTGGCAGAGGGAAAAGACAGGCTTCTGCCTTCTGCCTGTCTCTCTGGCTGTGTTGGACCTGCTGGGAAGCACTGGTCCCCTGGTTATTCAGGTTAGAGCAGGAGGCAGGAGGACCTGGATTTAGCTTTCAGTGGCTATCAGGGTGAGAGGAGCTCGGCATGTCTGGGCTATGACTGTGAAGCAAGGACTCAGACAGGCTCTGGATCTGAGCTTGGAGGTTCTCCTGGGGCAATGATAAAGGCATGGCCTGTCAGGAGCCCCAGGTGAGGAGGAGGACCAGCACTGATGGTTGATGCACAGCAGAGCGGCATGTCTCCCAGAGACTGCGGGACTGTCCCCTGGGACTGAGACGGGTGCTTCAATGCCGGTCCTGGCACTTCTGTTTCACCGAGGAATCATAATGGTGGTCATAAGAGACCACACAGGCTTCTTCAGTCAACATATTATTTAGTAAGCACAAGAGCCCTTTAGAGAAAATGTTTCTATACATTTCTGTATAGCTATATACTACACCAGACTTTGCTGAGGACTTTGCACTCCCTTGAACTGGGAAGACATGGTTTCTTTGTGTGTCTTTCACAAAGTCTCTCCCATACCTTGAGATAACGTGTCTTTAGGCTATGGCTGATCTGCCACGCATCCTACAAGAGAGGCTTTCTAAAGCACTCAAGTCTTTTTTGAGTCTCTCAACCCCCCAACTTTAGTGAAAGTGCTCATTAGCAATTAGATACAGGATTATTAAAGCTGATATTTTGGTTCACTGCTTTTCAAGAATGCATGGCAGTGTCCTTATCTGTTTTCCTTTAATTGCTTCCATCCTGGCTTTTCCCATCTGCTGGAATAGGATGATCTAATCATACAAAAAATCCGGTAATCCAGTATTGTTATCATCACATTGCTAACAACCAATGTTAAGGGAACTTCTTGATATTCACAGTATTATTACTGGTCAGCATCCTGCCTCTCTCATCAGCACACTCCTACCCACCTCAGGGCAGAAGGCAGGCTGGCTGCCAGGTCACAGGGCAGGGGAGATACATAAAGCCTGTCCACAGGCAAGCAGTGCGTGTCAGGGGACTGCTACCCATCACTGGCAGGTGCCACAGGCAACCCAATAAGATTTTGCAGCCCAATAAGATTTTGTGCTGTGCTGCTGCCAAAAGCTGTCAGTTGTAGGAGTCACGCTTAACCCAAGACCATCCCCAGTGTGAAAGCAAAGAGAGATGAGGTGGGGAAGCAGCCCTCGGCACAATTAACTAAATAATTAAATAGAAAATAATTAAATTAGAAACAAATAAAGAATAAAGTAACTTCTTGCAGTGTCCACACACTACCATTTGCCTCTCTTGTGACTTTGAGTGATGGAAATCCAAATGCTCGACTGAACCCTGTGAGTGTGTCACTGTATATGTTCTACTGGCTTTAAAGCAGTGAATCAATGGTGAGCTCCTCTGTCAAATATACAGTAGTGCTCTGCATG